CGAATCACAGGCCGTGCTCTCTCTCTCTCTCTCGCGAGCGCCCGCGTCCTGTCCTCTGGGCGGCGCCCCCGCGGAGCCGCCGCGGCGGCGGCGGGCCCCGCCGGGGCGGCCGCCCGAGGGCCGGCCTCGGCCGCCCGAGGGCCTCCTCGGGTGCCTGCCGCGGACCGCGAGGCGACCGCCCCCCGCCTCTCGGGCGCGGCCAGGAGGAAGTCGGGCATGTCCCTCTGCAGGGGGGAAGCTCCCACAGAGTCACGCAATAGTGTGGGGATTTTTGTTGTTGTTTCTTTTCTCTTGGTTTTCTTTTATTATTATTATTATTATTATTATTATTATTATTATTCTTCTTGTTACTACTATTATATACATCTATAGGTCTACATATATATATATGTATACACATATATGTAGATATACACATATACATGGGAAATACATATATATATATATATATATATATATATATATATAATATATATATAAAGAACCCGTTGTTCCTTTTCTTTCCACAGTCCGCCTGTAGGAGGAAGTGCCCGACCTCAGGCTAGGACGGGGCATGGATCCGTCCCCCGGCGTGCCAGGGCGCTTTTTCTGGGCGCCCCGGAACGCTCTTCTGAGCAGGCCGCGGCGCCCGAGACGCCCCCCACCAGAGCTGCCGGCTCTCTCGCAGAGACTCTCGACGTGATCTCGCCCGAGCTTGTCCTCGTCTTGGCTGGGCCTTGTCTGAAGGGGCCCTGGGACACACAAGTAAATACACACAAATAACAAGTTTCCCCATAGTTTCCCATACTTTCTGGGTTTTTGTCTTCCCCACCACTTCCCATAGTTTCCCATATTTTCTGGGGAATCGACGATTCATTGTGCCTGTCTTCCCCGCGCAGGTGGGCGGCGCCATCGCGGAAGCGCTCCGGCGGCAGTGGGCCCGCCTCGGCATCACGCCGCGGGCGGGGCTGGGCGGCGCCGCGGCCTTGGCGGCGTCGGCCGCGCGGTCGGCGGTGGCCCCTGCAGAGGCGCGCGCGTGCGCCGCGCCCGCCGCGCGGCTCGTCTCGATTCGATCGATCGAGTCTATCGAAATCGATCGTTGCCGATCGATTTCGATCGACTCCGAGCCGATACGATCCGATTCCGATCGAGCCCGATTCCGATGCATGCAGTTCGGCTTCGGATTCCGATCCAGATATTGTTTTGCTTCTCGACGGAGGCCTCACCCGCTTGCCGACTTGCGCCGACTCGGTTTTTGCCCACTTGGCTGCCGATTACCGACGATCTTATTCGCCTCGATTGCCGATCGGGCTTATCGATCTGATTGTGGGCTCGCCTGCTGCCGTCCGGGATTTGGCGGTGGTGGCTCTTGGGCGTCGCGGGCTCGGGAGCGGCGGGAGTGTCCATGTCCGCGACCGCAGCTGACGCGAGTCCTTCCCCCCCGTCCCTCGCCAGACTGCCAGCTCCCCCCCTCGGAGAGAGAACGAAGCGAGGCGGACGGGGAGGACGAGGAGGGCATCGAGGAGGGGCGGCATGAGGAGAGGGCATCGAGGAGGGCATCGAGGAGGGCATCGAGGAGGGGCGGCATGAGGAGAGGGCATCGAGGAGGGCATCGAGGAGGGCCCCCTCGCGCCTCGCGCAGCCCCGCCGGCCCGCCCTTCAAGGATGCGCCCGGGCGAGCTGCACGGATCGGGGGAGGGCGGGGGCACCGCAGTGGGACAAGGAGAGGTGTCCGGAGGGCAGAGGGCGAGGGGCCCCTCTCCACCGAGCCCCATCACGAGGCCCTCCACAGCGTCGAGAGACAGTGGAGAGCCAGCAGGCTTCGGAGGGCTGGCGGGCAGCAGGCCGGACAGGAGCACGCGCGGCGGGCGCGCCCCCGGAGGCGGCGACGAGATGGGGGTGGGCGGGAGACCCCGGCCCGACTGGGCGACGGCGCGGGCGCAGCTGTTGCTCTTTCGGCCAGCGCCCGCCGACGTCGAGCCCGACGTGGATCTGTGACATTCGTGCGACGATCGACTCTCAGGAGGAAAAGAAACACACAGACACAATGAATCGTCGACTCCCAGGAAAATATGCAAAAATATGGGAAGTGGTGGGGGAAGACAAAAGCCAAACAAAAATGGGAAAAGATGGGGAACATTTTTATTTGTGTGTATTTATTTGTGTGTCCTGGGGCCCCTTCAAGGTGGGGTGGGGGGGGCAGCCGTCAAACAGAAGATCGGGATATGCCTGAGCAGGCCCAGCAGTTAACCGTACATGCCTCTGGTTTTGATGCTCCAACCTACTCTAGCTTGGACCACCAGGAAGAATTTCGAGCACCATGAGAAGTACCGACACTTGTGGGTTTTCACGTGTCGTGCCCTGAGAGGCGGTGCTCGTTCGACTCTGTTTCGACACTTTCTTGGGTGCCCGAAATATTATGTCTGGGATGCGGTCCTTGAGTACGTTTGGGGCCGTTTCTGGAGGCCTTTGGTGCCCTGTAATGGCCCTGCTGGGGCCCTCTGGGGCCCCGGCGGGCCTGTTCGGGCAGTCTTGTGAAGCCGGGCATGTCCCTCTCAGGAGGAGTATTCCAAAATGGATTGAACATCGTCTGGGAACGATTTTGTCGACTGGTTCTTGACACGTTCTGCTCGTCCACACGCCGCCTGTAGGGGGACATCATCAGCCTCGCCCTCTAGAGCAAACAACACACAAAAAACTCACACTGTGGGAAAAACACACACACACACACACACACACACACACACACACACACACACACACACACACACACACACACACACACACACACACACACACACACACACACACACACACACACACACACACACACACACACACAC